ATTACACAGAAACATACCAAGGGAACATGAATCAAATATGTATCTTTATTCATTTACAATAAACTCATAAAGTACATCATTCTGATTTAAGCTAAGGGCATACAAAACTGTCTAACAGGTACTTGGTAGCGAGCTTCTCGAGCTCGAGCTCGTGCCTGGTTGCGATCTGGTACCGGGACAATCTTAGTCCCGAAGTGACTTTAGTTCGGGGTACTTGGCGTACCCCAGCTCGCTTTGTAGCGAGCTAATTTATGCTGAGCTATCACCCGTGTTGAGTTATTGCTCACGGTGAGTCACATCCACGTGTCTCCCTGTCATGAGGTCGGGCCAAATTCTCCTTCATCACCATGTGTGAAGGAAACATCCTTCTTTCACTTGAAGAAAAAAAGAAAAAACAAGTGATTCTACATGGTAGTGGATCATATTAAAGGAAACCTAATCTGGCATATAAAGGATGGAAGGATGATTTCTCTCCTGGATCCCCACGTTACATGGTGGTTCTCAGTTGAGATAATCATCCAAGTAACCTGAATATCAGAAAAAGTAAATAAATTACTGGACATGGAAGGAAATTGGAACTTTCAACTTTTAAGATCATTATTCACTGAGGACTATAAATCATATCAGCCAGTTGCACGTCTTCTCTGATCGATATAGACACATTACTTGAAGAGATCCAAAAATGCAAAATATTGTTTTCGTTCTGGATATGGTTTCTTTACCAGCCACATGCCTCATCATCTGGAACAGCTGCTTCTTGGAGCCTCATTTGGAAAGCCAAAGTCCCACTAAGATTCCAAATCTTTATATGGAAAGTGTGGTGGAATGGTATAAAAACAAAAGATAAGATGGTGTTCCTTCAAAACCAAGACCAACTATGTCTTTTCTGCCATTCGGAGTTAAAGTCTTGGCATCACCTTTTTTTTTTTATCCTGTCATTATGCCAAGGCTGTATGGGTCACAGCACAAATAGTAAATAAAACCCCGTAGATGTTCATGATGTCCAACTCTACCAATTTGTTTCAGATTGGGTCAGATCAAAGCTATGTTCTCTTCCTAAAGAAATTAAACACCTTTTATTGCAAAATTTCTCCTTGTGTTTAGACTTCTTTGGGATATGCGCAATGCCTTGTTGCATGGACAGCTGCTTCTTCACCCAGCCCAGAACTGTGAAAAAGCTGACTTTAATATAGTTCCCACAGGATCTCTTCAACCAGATTTTCAAAGGCAGTCCAATAGGAATCCTCTTGAATATCTCCTATGGAATTTTCATGTCATCTACTGGGTCAACTGGTATTGGATGCACAATTCTAGCTAAAGATTTAACTGTTGTCTATGCAGAAGGTTGAAAAATACATGCCTCAGCGGCTATTCAAGCCGAATGATTTATCCTTTTTTCTTTTTCTGTTTCTGTTGTAGTTTTTTTCTCTGTGTTTGTGTTTGCTCTGGTTAGTTTTAATTATATCAGCTGTTCAGAAAAAAAGAATCAAAGGTCTGTATCAAGGTTCAAAGTTTCGATATCGGGCATACCGCATCATATCTTTTGGGTCCCAAAACGCCTGTTTACAGGTGATTCAGGACCCATTCTTTTTTTAGTGAAAAATATATGTATTTAAATCCCCAAATACCAAATTTTGAAAAAAAAATACTAAAAAAACCATGTTTCCATGTGTATCAAAGTACCGATACGCCTCTACTGAAACACAGATGAAGATCAAATCAATGCTAGTTATTTTTGTGACTCAACAGGAATTGTAAATACAATCAATGAAAGCAGACCGGAGCCTACGACATCAACAAGACTATATTTTGAAGCAGTTGGGTTTTGTTGTGATAGTATATGCATAAAACATATAATATAGTAGTGATTAAGGATGGCAGCAGTTATGCTCCTTGTACTCCATCATCTTAATGATATCTATTACGGCCAGATTTGTTCCAAGCTTAGGCAGGACTTGTGTCCATTTTGCTGTTAAAAATTCAGTGTTCAAAAAGGAGATAAATCCTTAAAATAAGGAGTGCCAAATGCAGCCTTAATATATTTGCCAGTTTCCATAAAGTAAGCCCGAGCTAGTGATACTACCTACCTAGTACCAGTGTACTACTGCCACAACATTGTGGGCCTCTGAGCATTCGAGAGTCCAAACATTTTGGGAACCATGAAACTGAATTGGAAAATAGGTGGCCCCAACGAACAGACAACAGTTTCCATGCATGCTCTTCAGACTAGTGCAAAATCTTAGACCAAAACACTTGTTGCTTGAAGCGAGGATTCAATGAAGACCCACTCGAGATAAGCAAAGCAATGGTTTGCATTTCCCTTTTTTTATTTGTAATCAAAATCAAGTTGGAGTATGAACAGCAGTTTAGGATTCATCGTACTACAAAAAACCGGCATTTAAGAATTAATAAACAAAATACACGGAGATGATGCCCAAAATAAACAAAGGATGAAAATAAATAAGAAAAGGAAGAATCAAGAGTTCGTAGCCCTGTCCAATCATTTAAAGCATACAATTCACAAGGTTAACTGCAGGTCCTACAGCTAGCCAAAGCCATATGGAGAGGTCTGTGCTGGCTTTCCCTTATCGTTCCCTTGTCGAGGGGTTATAGAGTGCTGTTACCACTTCTCTTGGAAGAGCCAGAATGCCCTAAGCTCCTCCCCATTAACTTTCCTGCCTTACTAAGGCCGCTGCTCATAGCACCAAAGCCGCTGCCAACAAATCCAACTCCAGCATTGATTCCATTCCCAACAAGCCCAGCTCCTGCACCAATGCCAGTTCCAACTAGGCCAGCTCCTGTTTGAATGCCAGTTCCAACTAGGCCAGCTCCTGTTTGAATGCCAGTTCCAACTAGGCCAGCTCCTGATTCAATGCCAGTTCCAACTAGGCCCATCCCTGATCCAATGCCAGTTCCCACTAGCCCAACTCCTGCTCCAATGCCAGTTCCCACTAGCCCTACCCCTGATCCAACCAAAGAAGCTGCTCCATCTAATGCATCCCTCGTGCTCCCTATCACCCCTTCTTCTTTCAATTTTCTCCGTCCTTCTAGGATCACCTTTTCTTCTTCAAGAGCTACCAACTGTTCTTTCTTGTCGAGTTGATGATACAAAACCTATATGCACATCCAAATTCGAAGTGTGTCTCAGACGAATCCACAAAAAGATTAAAGAAGGTATGAATGTAGCATGAAGGAGAATGATGTCTCCAAGCATAACAGAAGATTTATATGATATCAAAAAGCACAATTCAAACATTTGTCTGTCAATTTCTCCCTGATATTAGCTGCATTATTCATGGTACCAGGTGTTACTAATTTGTTGATGGCAGACATAATAGTATAGTTTTAAAGATCTACACACAAGATATTTGTTTGAATATTTTCTGCTCTTGCATTTCTTGACATGATCAAGCAAGATGGCAAATAATTGGATGGGGAAAACAGCAAGAAGAATGTTTCAGCATCTGGCAGTATCTGGAAGCAACACTTGAAACCAGCAATAACCACGGCAAAAGATCAACAAAAGCAAGTCATGGTAGTGACCATGACTAAAATTGAAAAGCATATATGGAAAAGGAACCAGTTTTCCCCCAAGGCATAACAAACAACTAATAATTAATAATTACAAGGTGAGAATAGGTTTGAAAACAGAAAACCAGAAAAATCATACCTTAACTATAAGAGATCCTCTGTCTTTCTTATCTTTAACTTTTAGCATGTCAAGTGAGGGCAGCAGTCTCAGCTCAATATCCTTTGGAGTTTCAGGTTCCAAATCAGCTAAAGGTAATTTTACTATGCCCAGTCTCTTGTCTTGTGTAACATCCTTATCAAAAACCTGTTGTACAATTAAAAAACATTTTTAAGGGTAATATATTCTTCAGCAAGTTATCATATCAACAGGGTCCAAAAACAAGATTTTTACTTGAAACTTTTAAAACCAATGTTTCAAGATTCGGACCGGACCAACTGCTCAGACCATTCAACCCAGGAACCAGAAGGCATTCCAGATTTTTAAACCCCGGTTTTCATATTTCTGAAAACTGGAAGAACCAGTCAAAACCTGGCAGAACCGTTGAAAACCGGCCAGGTTTCAATGATCCAACCAGTTTCTATGACCTTCCTGGGTCACTAAATCTACATTCATACTTAGATTTACATGTACCAAATGATTAACTTATCATTCATTTATACTTCTTTGTGTATCTTTAATTTATACATTGTATAATTACATTACATATATTTTCAATAAAATGCAGGTACCAAGACTTGAACCCTGGTCATTTATGTTAAAAATAACACTTCCACCATCCCGCCACCACTTAGAATTGAATTATAAATTATAAAATCTATTTATTTGTATCTTTGTAGCCCACAGTCAAACCATTTGACCTATGACCCGGCAGCCAGTTCAGTTTTGTGTCCGGTCCGAGTCTTAAAACACTGGTTAAAACCCAAGCAAATGATACAAAGATATTCTTAAATGAATTTTTGGCATGAAGATAGATGCAGATCAAGGAACTATATTAGGTGGGAAACCGTTTACCAGTTGCTTTTAGCCTAGGTGGAAAACTATCACTATGCACATACCAAGTTAGTCTTCAACATAACTCTATGACCAAGCAGTGAATTCATTTAAAACCAAAATGTTATCATAATTCTTAAAACAGTTAAGATGACAAAAGTAGTTGATTAGTAATAAGAATAAGCAATGGTTGAAATCATGGGTTTGAAAAGAACTGAAGAAGCATCAAAGAGTATTCCCTTACAAATTATCCTTCTTGAATGTTATGTAAGTTGAAACAATTAAAAATTTACCTAATTTTGCAACACATTATGTAAGCTAAACACTTATTTTTTGAAGCAGTTTGAAACATCAATAAGACAGATATCACAATAAGGGATAACAAATTATAAGATAAAAGGAGTAAGAGCAAGTGGATTAGAACCTCAAGGATAAGTGATTGTGTCTCCTTGTCTTCAGCAATCAGCTCAAATGTTTCATTCCAAATAGGATTTAGGTTGTTGTCAATAACCTTTGTTTTAACCTTGAATAGAGGTCGAATATACAGAATGACATAAGGATCAGATTTGCCAATCATTTCCATATTCTTCAATTCATCTGCTTTTACCACTGTCACTATAAGCTTCCCCTGTGGTTTAAGTTCCAACTCACTGCATAATGAAGAAAAAGGTCACTGTTTATTCTCATGACATTTATTGGAGACTCAGGATGTGTTAATATCTTAGCATATCAGAAAATTCTGCCACATGAGAAAAGATTTCTGTCAAGAAACAGGAAAAAGAAAAACAAATTCAATTACATGAACAACACTGCTATCATAATGATGCACCAAAATTATTTTTGATAAGTACGATTGTATTAAAAGAAGGGAGAGTTTCCCTCAAAACAGTGTACAGGTGCGCACTCTCTGTATATGAAAATTATAGAAAAAAAATTACACCCCCACCATCCACAAGTGGCCTGATCTTCACTAGAAGAATTTGTAATCATACTTTGAGAATATATATTATTTTAATATCAGAAGATCCTTATAAATATAGACACTAACTTAAATTCACACATGCACGAAAGGAAAATGAAAGAAAAGAAGAAAATGGCATATCATTAAAATATTTTTATGGCTAGTACATGACATGAATAAACAATGGATAATGTAATACTAGAACTTGATTCTGTTTAAATCTGTTCTGGCAGTAACAAAACATAGATTTGGATGCATGTCAGTCCCAAGGGAATTGAAAAATAAAATGTAGTGGTCGTGTCAACATTAAATTCTTGTCAGAAAAGAATAAAAGTTAGTAAAAGAAACATGATTACCTTGTATCAACCTGTGTACCACCAATTGGTACAACTATCCGATGGGGCCATTGGAGCATGTCTGTGACAATTGAATTCACAGTATCCTACAGTATTCCAAACTACTAGTATTATGAGTCTAAGTAATAAATAGAAACATATTTTGAAAAGAAAATTTACAGACATTATATATAGAACTTACATCAATCATATCAGAAATTCCAGGTAGTGCTGTTAAGCTTCCTCCAACAGCCTTCAATGTATAATCTATTCTAGGCTTTGGCTGATTTGGAATATACAATTATTAGTCATTTTCAAGATACTGCAATTGATGTTAGGTAATGATCAAAGAATAATCAAGTGGTAGTTTGTTCATGGTTAAATTCAATGGAAATTTGCTCCTGTAACCCACATAACCTAAACACTACCCAACCTTGAAGCATAGAATAGAAGTATTGAAATCAATCCCTAATAGAATCTTAAGCATGAAGTTAAAAGGATGGAATTGTATGCTATCTTAAATATGATGTCACCAAGGGACCAAAATATAGGTAGCATGTTTATGAACAGTTCAAGGTTCTAGAAGGACCTATCACAATAGTGTACTCTGTTAATGCTGTTGAAGTCAAGAAAAGACAAATTGTCTTGATTTCACACCCTTTGTGTCTACTATATTGTTGCTCATTTACTGCAGTGCCACATAAAATGCTCATCAATTACTCCAATTAATTACAGTGTTTGCAGGACTAGCCTTACATACATGAGACATTAAGATAATAAGATCACCCACCTGAAGGCTTTGATGAAACTTGATTGACTATCTGATTTTGTAAACTCAATAGTTAATGGCATGTGCATGCATGTCATACAAAGACTTTATATTTGGTAGAGGCATCAGATGATGGCACTTCTACCTGTTTCTATGAAATGCAAGTAGAAAACAATTCAAGGCAATAAAATATAACTGAATAATTCTTCCAGTGAGCTTGCAATACATTCAATGGTTATTCATACCTCAGAAAGGAGAGCAAAAACAATAGCAGAAATACAAGGGATCTCTTCAGAAAGTTGGAAAATTACACGAACAACAGTGAAAACTTGAAGATCCTTCAACTGCAGCCAACAGTGGAAACAGAATATTTAAGAAAGAAGTATACACACTGAAACACTAATTGCATAATGCAGTACAAGATCAGCTTAATAACTCCTATTTGGAAGAAAGAATGCTTTTGTTTACCAAACCCTTCCAAGTATGTATTTTATTCAGAGAAGTTTTACTGCTAACCTGAATGGGTATAGATGCAACAAGTGCCGCTTCAACAGCAAGTATGATGTTTGGATCACCACCCCATCGGAAGTCAATGTCCATTGTGATTTGACCTTTTTTAAGGCTCTGAACATGAATACCTGCATTTATTAAATCATTATATATGTAAATTTGCATTAAAAATGTGCAACACAAAAGATGAACAGGACAGCACATAGGCAAGATCAGAGCCTAAGAATGATTTCTGAATTATATTATGATGTTGAGAGGAGAATCAAATCAAAGAGAGGCCACCTAAGGAAAATGAGGAAAAATACCAATTATCAAACTAGAAAAGGAAATGAAGAAGTGAGAGTTTAACAGAACTGATTCTGTTGAGGGTGGTCCATTGGCTGAAATCTGTGGACCTATTCACAGATGTCTCACTGGCTGACTTGATAAGAAACTAGAAAGAGATAGCTAACACTGCCCAATTTAAGAGGTCTTCTAGCCCCTCTTGGATGTCCCCACCTTATAGATTCATAAAACTGAATATTGATGGATGTAGTGTGGGGAATCCAGGGCCTTCTGGAATTGGGGGTCTGTTCAGGAATGAGGAGGGGATTATTTTAGCTTTGTTCTCAGACCCTATTGGAGGAGACTCACTTAGATATGAGATCTTTACGGCTCTGGAAGGTATCCAAAAATCTCGGGATCTGAACTTCAGGAGGTTGATCCTTGAAGGTGATTCAGAAGTGGTGATTAGATGGGTAAAGGAAGATAACAGCGGCATGTGGAGGTTTAGCCAAACAAGGGGCATATAGGGATTCTTTATTTTGGGCTAATTTCTAAGTTTTTCTTTTAATCTATTGGTGGGGAGCTAAGACATTTTATCTCCCCCTTTCTTGTACTTATATTTCTCTTATTTAATAAAAGTTTTCAGTTAGTGATCTAAAAAAAAAAAAGGAAATGAAGAAGCATACTTGCCATTTAGAACCAAAAGATGTGACAACAGAATTCATAATATTTTCAGGGATATTATGCCACTGAGGGACTGAATGGATTTTCGAAAGACTATGTGCCTGGTTGAACTTTCAGATGCTGGAAAATTAAAGGAGAGGTTGGAGTTGTTAGAAACTTGTCTGGTTGGACATTTTGTGGAAGTGGAACCGCAAGAGAAAGATGTCACAGAATAGACTTTGAACAAAGAAGAAAAAAAGAGGTTAGGATCCAGTCCAGCCCTCCCAAGACCCCAGAAAACTTGCACGGTTGGCCAAACATTGGTTAATGACATTTTTTTATCAATGCTGTAACTTAAATTAGGAATCACAGATTTGAACTAACAACCCGCTATTCAGTATATAGATTAGAACACAGTTTCCCTAACCATTAGAAGAAGTAAACTGAAGGCATTATAAACTCAGACCTTCAATTTTAGGTGCCACATCTCCAAGAGAGAGTTTGCTGAACTTCAGTGAAGTAATTCCTGGAGGTCGATATTCTTCCAACAGTGGTTCAACAGATTCCCTTATGACCATTGTTGCTGCCTGGGGACAAGCATATACCAACAATATTAAATTAACAAACTGAAAATCAAGAGCCAGTGAACTGCAAGCACAATCAACGACATTTTAAAACTTTAGATATTGTTGTGACATAGCTTTTTTTTGGGATGAGTAACAGTTCTGTATTTTATTAAATGGTGAGTACAACAAAGTAGAATACCCATATAAGGAGGTCGGCTAACCATCATACAAGAAAGTACATCAGCCCTTAACCATACTGTAATGACATTCAACTCTATTTTCTAAGAAGAATATGATTATAATCAATGCCAATTTCAGGAAAAACTTATACAAAGATTTAATTTAATATCAGATATGTTAAGCCAGAAGAACAACATTGAAAAATGGCTTGCCACATATCTCCAAATTCAACTAAAGAACAATCAATGGCCAACAAACTAACAGATATGCAATGAGAATTTTTTTCCTGATTAGTAACAAAGTATTTATATTAAATATTAAGTCAAAATTGTATATGTAGAGAGGAAAGCTGAAAGGTAATCCCAAGTTGACAAAGATAATAATTGCTGTATAAAAAATAAAAATAAATAAATTAACGGGGAACTTATCAACATGTCATCAGTATGATAAGAAACCCATATCCTCAAACTATCTTAAAGGTATATACCAAAAGCAAGCAAGCCACATCTGAAAAAGTACTAATTCAACTTCCAATCTTCAGAAAGGAAAGTTTGCTCTTGACTTTTCAGTACTGTTGACAAGAACGTTAAATAGAAAGTAAATGCTCAACAATTCCATCCATGAGGATAATATAAAAGAAAATATATGTAAAGAGCTTACTTCAGCAACAAAAGGCCACAACTTGCTCAGTTGTTTGTTCAACCATTTGACCTGAAAGATTCAACAAAATGAAATTATATACATAAAAATAAAAAAAGAAAAAGAAGTGAAGAACAGTAGTACATAATTCATCATCATCATCTAAGATTTGTTCCAACTATATGGGTTCAGCTCTATGACTCCTGGTCTGCCATTCTGTCTGTTCAATGCTATATCCATTGTTAAACAGAAGTTGATAATTATTGACCTTAAAATTTTTCAAAGAATCACGCATAAAAAAGTAAAATAGGAAACTGTTGAAACTATGTTTTATTTGTAAGGGTTTATTTGCCTTTCTTCATCTATTTGTATTTGGGCGCCTATAGCTAAGGGTATATGTGTAATTTAGTCTTAATATAATCTTTCTTTGTGGGAGTGAACAGAAACACACCCCACACATTTGACCGTTTCTTCCCCATCTTCTTCTCATCTTTGGTATCAAGTAGGGAGGTCTAGAGGTTCTTTCTTGAGGAGCTTTGTCATCCTAGTTGCCTGCTGATGTCATACCACTGTTGGATGACGTCTGTAGTTTGTACAGCCGGTGGCAACTGACCTTCTTGATAGGGTTTGATACACCCTTCTTTTAGAAGAATTTTGATATGCATATTGTGGATGTTTAAAGGTGTTAAGATATTTTTCTGTATATTTTGGACTGAAATTACAGAAAATTTCGAAAATGGGTATTCCTACTTGTTTGGTTGATTGCAGTTGTCTGAATATGTGAGACCTATGCCATTCAGATCGGTTCAAATTTCTTCGAAGATAGGAAGTGGTTTCATATTTTCTAAGCCTTAGAAAATTTTTGGCTATTTTTTCTTCCCTTCTATATTTTTCCACCAACTCCTTTTTTTGCCCTTTTTATTGCTAAACTGTGATTGTACCCGATTGTTGGGGTTTGTCTTTGGTCCGGTTATGGCTAGGGTGCCTTGGAAGTGAAGAGAGTGTTCTTGGAGTAGGGCTTGGTGTTCCCAAAAGCTGTAAACTATGGAGCCTCCCAAAGATATTTAGCTTACCTCTAGTGTTCTTCCTGGAAGTGTTGATGTCACTAGTGGGATGATAACCACTATGAAACTTGACAGAACTGACTTTCTTGAGTGGTCCCAATCAGCTAAGCTTACTGTTGGGGGATGGGGTAAGCTAGGGATTTCTCATGGGCAAGGAGACTAGAATAACAAATCAAGAAGAAAGTAAGAAGAAGAAATAGAGAAAACACCAAGATTTGATGCAGTTCAGCTCAGTAGCCTATACACACGGGAAGAAAGGGAAAAATATCCACTATGAGAATAAGGGATAAATGGGTGACCTCTCTACAAACTCACAACAAAATATCCACTCTCACTTAACCCTAATCCCACACCACTAATGGCTTAAATAAGAAAAAGGCCAAATTATACCAGAATTTCCCCCTCTTCCTCCCATAAATATATACAATTCCCCAAAATTTATCATCATTACAAATTCACCCCTATAACTTCCAAAAAACCCAAATACAACCAAATATAGTGCATCTCTCTACATCCTCCCTCAAACTCAAGGTGGGGAAACCGACTTGAGTTTACAAGAAATGATGTTGAAGCAACTTACATGAAAATAGGTGTATTGTTGAAGCAACAACCATGAAACTTAAGATGTTGAAGAAGCCTCTTAGAAACCAAAATTGGATGTTAGAAAGCTGAATGAATTCATGTCGGAAAGCCAGAGTAGAGCCAAGTAATGATCTAGTAATTACCAAACTGAAGTTGGCCAATGGAAAGTCAACACATATCATGCCAAAGAATCAAATTTATCCATTAAAAGGCCAATCACAATCACCGAATTGAAGAACCAACCATGTCAAACAACTAGATTATCAAAAATGCCAACAGAATTACCAAAGCAGAGTTGGCTAGTGAAAAGCCAACTATGCTGAACTCCATAAACCAAAGCAAAGATTTAGAGTTAATCAATGGAAAGTCAATTATGAACTCGATAAACCAAATTGAGAAATCGGAGTTGGCCAATCGGAAACCCAACTAGATAAAGTGAATCAAAATCCCATGCCACCGAAGGAGATCAAAACTCCAAGGATTTCTTCAACAATAACCCATAAGTAATGAGCATAATAAATGATCATTGCTGATGCATTTTGTCAAACATCTTCCATGCAATACATATATGAGGTAAACAAACCAAATATTGACCGATGATAATAGATCCATCATTCACTAAAATAGTCCAAATATCAAACCAATTCACAAAATAGATCAAATCAGAACTGATCATAACAATGGAGAACCATTGTAGAAATTTTGCACCATCGAGACATTTTCTCGAACACCAAATAGTCACCTTGAGCTATCACATGCTGATATTGATAATCATCAATAGACCAGAGAAGTTGCAGAGCTTCTGTAACACTTTTTCGAAAAATTAGAGCTCCCAAAGAAAACACCAAACTTGGATAGATGACCAACAACCAACCTTTTAGACAATAAATCAAACAACTGACCTCTCTATAGACTCACAACAAAATATCCACTCTCACTCAACCCTAATCCCACACAACCAATGGCTTAAAAAAACAAAAGGCCAAATTATACCAGAATTTCACACAGGCCCCTCTTCCTCCCATAAATACATACAAGTCCCCAAAATTTATCATCATTACAAATACACCACTGTAACCTCCAAAAGCCCAAATAAAATATATCTCTCTACATGCCAAGTAGGAACAAGATAATCATTCCTTGGTAATGTCATGACTAGTATGCTCAATGCAACAACATATAGCCAAGAATTACATGTTTCTCTCTACAACCAAAGATATTTGGGATAGGGTGACAACCACCTATTCCCAGGTTAAAAACACTGCTAAAGTTTATCAACTCTAAAGAGAGGCTTGTAGTATGTGTCATGGGGAGAGGATTGTGGCTATGTACTTCTCCTCTTTACAATCTCTTTGGGAAGAAATTGATCATTTGGAGGCTCTAGAATGGAAGGATCCTAGGGATGGTGAGCAATATAGAAAATATATGGAAAATAATAGGTTGCATGAATTCCTGACTAGGTTAAATGCTGAGTTAGACTTCACCAGGCAACATATCCTTAATAGTGGTACTGTTTTACTTGTTATGGAATATTCCTTGGTGCAAGGAGAAGAGAATAGGAGGGTTGCTATGGTGCAGAATACTAACATTGAACACCTTGCCTTTATGTCTTCTAAACCTAGGCTGAATATAGGTAGGTCTGTTGCAAGTGAGAAGACTGATAAAGTGGTGTGTGAATATTGCAAGAAGCCTAGACACACTAAGGACAAGTGTTGGAAGCTACACCCACAGTTGAAATCTGAAAAGCTAAAAGTTGGAAAGAAGGGTATGCTCATCTAGCTATAGTTGGTGGTGATAGTTAGACTGCTGCTATCTAGCCTTCTCGACATGACTCCTTTGAAGTGATGGACAAGCTTAGGAGCCTCTTGATTTAGCTAGAGAAGAGTGGGTCCATTACCTTTGTTGGTTTTAGCAATCCTTCCACCTCTTTTTCTAAAACAGGTATTGCATTTGTTTGTCATCTTTCCTTTTCTAGCTCCTAGATTGTGGATTCTGGAGCTAGTGTACATAAGACTAGTATGCCTTCCCACTTTACCTCATATGAGTTAACTCCTAGAAAAGGTAAGATTATTGTAGCAAATCGGTCTCAGACTCCAATCTTGAGGTTGGGTGAAGTAAATCTTACACCTAATCTTTCCTTGAGTTTTGTTCTTCATGTTCCTCAATTGCATAAAAATCTCTTATCTGTTAGCTCCCTTACAAAATCTCATAATTGTTCTATAATCTTCTTTCTCTTTCATTGTGTTTTTTAGGACCTTAACATGGGGAAGACGATTGGAAGTGGACATGAAGTAGATGGGTTTTACTTTTTCTAGTAAGGCCCTGAGTAAGGATTATTGTGCCAGACTAATTCTTGTCAAAATGAAAATTTGAGTTTTTTGAAACAGTGGCATTGTCGTCTTGGACATGTGTCCTTTGGTTGTAGAAAACTTTTGTTTCCTAATATGTATCAGTTTGTGACAAGTTTGAGTCCTCAATGTGAAGTCTGTCATCCATCAAAACAATGTAGAAACACATATTTTTCCAGTAATAGAAAAAATTTGCTCTTTTTTTGGTACATTCTGATGTATGGGGTCCATATTCTATTCCTTGCATGGGAGGATACAAGTATTTTATTATTTTCATTGATGACTATTCTAGATACACTTGGCTATACCTAATGAAGAGTGGGAATGAAGTTCCACCAATTGTTCAAATTTTCTTTCATATGGTAGAGGCACGGTTTGACAAGAAGATCAAAATGATAAGATTTGACAAGACAAAGGAATACTTTGAGAAGAACTTACGAGCCTTCCTTGAAGAGAGGGAAGTAATTCATCAAAGTTTGTATAGTTATACTCCCCAACAAAATGGAGTGGTTGAGCAAAAAAATAGACATGTGACTAAAGTCGAGGCTTACTGTTCTAGATGCATATTCTAACTTGTTCCTGGGGAGATGCAGTTGAAACAGTTGAATACCTTATGAACAGACTTCCTTCTAGACTCTTCATATTCAATCTACTCATCAACTCCTCTTCCCTGATGATCTAGACTTCTATCTTCCTCTCAAGGTCTAGATGCATATTCCAACTTGTTCCTGGGGAGATCCAGTTGAAACAGTTGAATACCTTATTAACAGGCTTCCTTCTAGGACTCTTCATATTCAATCTCCTCATCAACTCTTCTTCCCTAATGATCTAGTCTTTTGTCTTTCTCTCAAGGTCTTTGGTTGCATTTACTTTGTTCATGACATGAGTCTCTAATGGTTTAAGCTGGATTCAAAGTTTGTTATATGTCTTTCTTGGTTATTCTTTTATCCAAAAGGGCTACAAATGCTTCGATCCTCATTCTAGTAGAAGATATGTTTCCAAGGATGTCACCTTCCTCAAATCCACTCCTTTCTTTCTGTCATCTTGTCCTTTTCTTTAGGGGGAGAATATTAGTGAA